ATTAATTATAGATCTATATTTTATAAGTGTAATATTGAATGAATTTCGGTTTTCATTGATTTTTTTTTTTTAATACATAATATTAATTATAATTTAATTTATTCAATAAATTATTTAATATTCCTTGCTATTTTTAAAAGTTTGGAACATTATTTATCGAATGAGAACACACAAAATCAAATTTGTGAATTATTATGAATGGATCTAATATATTGATATGTCTAAATATAATATATTTTGAAATATTCTGGTTAAATTATTTTATCTTAACGATTATGTTTATTACTACTATGAATCTGTTAATCTGTAATATCGTCATTAAATTTAAATCTATTGAAAATATTAAAATAAATATATAAAACAAATTAAAACTAAATAAATTCCACTTAAAAATTAAAACAATTAGGTCATGAATTTCTAGTTTTTTTCAATTTGCGTAAAACTTTATGTATTCTAAAACTATGCTGCTCTACACACTTTTAAACCGTCTTGTATGATTTACGACAGTAATGTTTAATAATATGACTATTTTGCTAAAGTATTTCACTTTAAACGTTAAATTTAAATGTTATTATCTGCTTAATATTGTGTAGAGGTTGAGAAAAAAATACATACTAAGCTACTTTTAAACTCGTTGTGTCAGTGAATTCTTTGATCCCATATTTGTTTAGGTTTTTTTTTATTTACACTTAGAGGTACACTTGTTCAAATAAATGACTAATTTATTATTTAAAAACGCATTTAGATGTTATTTTGAAAACATTTTTCATATACAACCGATGCAGTAATGCCACGTGCTGAATGTCTATTACACTTCTTTTTTTTTTTTTTTTTTGACTTTAATAGATTATTTATTTATTTCACGTTATTATGTTTACAATAATAAATTTAATTGATTATCGATATTTTAAAATCTGTCAAAATTTTAGTAATTCTAATAGTTATTGTCATTGCCTAATAGTTAAAAAAAAACATTGTAGTAAGTACGATGTATTCAGTTCAAACTTTACAAATTAGATTTTTAATTTGTATATACTTCATTCTATGTTAAATATTTATTACACCATTAAAAAAAAAAAAAAAAAACAATACATATGTATTGAATTGCATTTATAGTGTGCCGTTTAGTATACATTTCTAGAGCCTATATTTTAAAAATGTCACTATATATGGATAAAAAAATATTATATTGCTTTTTTTTAATTACTTTAGTGTATACAGCTGTATTGTTTGAAATTTTTTTATCAACAAATCATATTACTCGTACCTCAGGTAAGATAATTGAAATACCTATGTTAGGTAAAAACAGAGTTTATTAAAATAAAATTTCGTTTAAATTTAAAATTGAAAGTTATAATATCATATTGTGCAGAAATATCATTATTTTTTATTTAAATTTATGTTGAATTTTTTTTATATTCTACAAACGTAAACATTTTTAAACTACCCCCGTTAACAAAAACCAAGAATAACACCGTTGTCACAATTCATATCTATTTATAAACACAAACAACGCTGTTTGTGTCGTATTGATATATTAATTTTTTTATTAAAAACAATAAGAGATTATTACGTGTCATTATTGCGACGCACTCTAGTGATGACCGAGGCGTTTATTATAATGGAATAATTAGTTTTAATTAAAAACAGACATTGTGCGTCCTCAAATATTTTATTTTTATACCAAACGATAATCGTGATAAATTAACATCAATTCTCGGAACACGTCCACATATTCAACGTTGTTTCTCTTAATTGTTTTAATATATTCTGAAATCGCCTTCGATGAATTTTTGCCGTTCTTACATAATAATTTATCAATTGCGCTACAAACAAAACGCCACTGTTTACTGCTCCAGATATTGTATGTACACACGCACAATGTATATAATATGTATATGAAGTATGCATATAGCGGCCCTTCAACGGGTCACCGAAGTCAAGGGTAAATCAATTGTATAAAATAATATTGAACGCCTTAAGTCGCCGTTTGCTTTTAACGAATAGAGAAAAATCGATAACTATTACGCATATGGATAAATGATGTGAATCAATTGAAATTACTAGACAAGCGATATGATGTACTTGGACAATGACGCGTGTACCTATATTAGCTGCAAGTTTAAGTGGCAATTTTTATATTTATTTAGTGTAATTATTTGTAGTTATTTTAATCGTCGTTACTTAATAATATACATGTATGTTTATATTAATAAAACTTCAGTGGTAGTTTTGAGAGATTTATACCCCTCCAGTTTCTTAAAACTTAGTAAACTATATTTAGTATAAAAATAAATGAAAAAAATAAAAGTTTTTGGTAATTACTAATTATTTACAACACACTTTTTTTAACATAACAAGAATGAAATTTAAGTATACGCTTTGACAGTTTTCAGCAAGAGGATTAAAATATTTTTTTTGCAAATTTATTTATGCCATGGTATTAAGTAGATTTAATATCAATGTTTAATATAATACCAAACATAATACACACCATCATATCGGTAGTTTGTGTATGATTTGTAATATTAATAAATTTTAATTACCTACCTCTCTATTTATGTAGAGTCGCTATGTTATAATTTTATGAAGATCTAATAAGACTTTTATATAATAAGTAAATAATTATAATATGTTAATTTTATTTTTAAAATAAAACAGTCTAATTGTACTTAGTTATGTTTGAATTAAACTATACTTTAAAATAGCCCGTTCGAAAATATCGATTTTTGATTTAAGATTACATCTCTTCCTTTACATTTTATACTCAAATTATAACTTTTAAGTAGTTAAATATTTTTATGATCCGATATGATTATTTTCGTGTAAAAATAAATTTAATGTCTTTGTTAACAAACAAAATCGGAATATATTATATAATATAAATCTTAAAAAATTCCTTTTACCTCTTTCAACTTGCAACGTTTATAATTTTAACAAATAAACGAGTATTTTCGTTTCTATTTAAGGTTTATTTATTTATAAGCGTATACATATATTTTATTGTGGTGGTATCTAATGCAATTTTTTCTTTATAATGGCATATCATTTGATAAAATTAAATTTAAATTATCGTCAAGAATTTATCGCATTGGAATAAAAAGCATTTATATTTTTATTTTTCTAATAAAAAAATTACTTAGTATTTAAAAATTATAAAAATAATTTTTTTCAACAATTACAGGTTAGGTGCCAAATAAATCTTCTTAGATTTTAAAATTGAACTATTTATAACTGCTTGGTAAATTCCATTAATAATACTTTTTTATACAAAAATTAAAATAGTTAAATAAGCATTAATTTTAAATTCCTATAAAATTAAAACAATAATAACTATGAAAATTAAAAATTCATACTTTACCTTTTTTAAGAAAAAATAATGTTCAAAAATTTTAACTCCATCTCCAACATTCTGTTATTTAAATTATGTTTTATCGAACACTCCAACAAATGATAATTCAAACTAATTTTATTAGTAATATCAAATATTATTAATATTGTATTTTTAAAACTATTAATATAATTATACTCAGAAAAAAAAAATTAAATAAATTAGCGTCCAACACTTTAACCATTATTTGCAAAACTAACTAATTGTGTTATGAACCTTCGGGTAAAATTGTAAAAACAAAAGTGCCAAAACATATTTGATAAATTTACATAAATCTAATCAGAGTAATTTTAAATAGTACTCGAGTTAGATAAACATTAGTATTTTATATTTGTAATTTTATTATCATGGATTTATTGATAACTTTTTGAAGAGCATTAACTTAAGTCTGATAATTAGTAATTACAAATTCTTATATCAACAATTTAGCATAAAATTATGCCTACGAATAAGTAAAAACTATATATTATTGATTAAATAAAATCAGTAGTAAAACAATTATTATCTCAAGTGTTTCATTTTATAGAATATATATATATATATATATATGATATAAATATAAGGTATCGGGATAATTAATTTATGTTTAGAAACAGTAAAGAACAATTTGTAATCCGATACCATTAAAGCTTAAAATAAATAAGTTGTCTATGATTTTTTGATAAAACTCGAGATCAATATGACACTTTTACATTTTTTTAGTCTGCAGTGAGTAGTGTTCGTTGGTCGGTTGTTGGTGTCGTTTCAATATGAGGCGCTATAGGGTATTTTAATAATGCATAATAATTATTAACCAAATGAGTTAGTTTATACTTCTTTGCATATCATCGTTTAGTTTTGTTTTCTTCTTTGTGTATAACATTATTAGATAGTTTAACTTAAATGATTTAATTGATTTAATATAGGTTTTTCAAATTATTGTTGATAGCTAACTTAAAATTAAAATTATGTGTTTAAATATACAGTTATTTTTTTTCATTTCTGTAGATATTCATCATACTATAATAAATAACCATCGCATGTATATACTTCAAATTTGTGTTGTTCTCCATAGCATTAGCATGAATATTATTGACGATTTCATGCTCAAACTTTTGTTACATGTCCCCTTGTAATTTTAAATACTGCTATAGTTTACTTAATGTGTTGAGAAAAAGTTTGTTACATTACAAGCTCGTATAGTCTCATAACAGTCATAACTATAGTATGAAAAAACTACTTTGCTTAATTAGATGATAGAATAATCACATAGTTGAATTTTTAAAGCAATACAAATTAAATTGTTCTTACTTTTCTTAAAAAAAAACTGTGTAATACTCAATTTTAAAATACCAATAAATGATTATTAATTTTACTTTATCATATTTAAATATTTTTAATATTTATGCTTCAATAATGTATTCAATTATATTTTATTCAAACTTATAAATTAAATAATTTGATCAATTTATTACATTTTTTCTCATGATGAAAAAAAAACTGTTCTTAAAAAGAAATTGTTTATAAAAAATGTTTACATATAATTTTAAAACGAACAATTTAATTTTTGTTGTAACATTATTATTATTTATTTTTAAATTAAAATTAATTGTATTGTTTTATTTTACAGGGGTCCATGCGACCGATTATTACAGAATTGGATAACAACAAAAAGGGATGTATTCGAACAGATGTTGCCGATCTTGTTATGGTCAAGTACGTTTTAAAAATTATTATTCATATTAAAAATGAACAACTAGGAATATTGAAATTAACACACTAAAATAATTTATTTTGAATACAACATATAATGTAAATACATTATCTATTAAACCTATTGGGTTTTGATTATAAATAGGTATAATAATTAGGTATATAACATCAAACTTTTTATATAGCACATCTGAGCATAATATACTTATATTATCCATAAAATTACCACTTAAAAAAAAAAAAACAATTTGATCAAAATTGTACATTATTTAATACATAACAATCATAACTTTTATTTAATAATAAGACATGCTTATCCAACACAAATAACATATTAATATTTAATCGTATTAGATATTTTAGTTTTCATTATATATAAATTAACAAACCTGAAATTTAGATATGCTAAGTACAATATTTTTGAGCACCTTACTTTGTTTAACCCGCTTCCTATCAATCTAAATCTACATTTGAAGCCGAAGCCATTTATTGTTCTATAGTAGACATCTAATGATTCTTAATGGTTTTTGATCATGAAACTTCTACTTTTTAAATAATGATTTTTTCACGCAAATATAAAATGTACTTATATTACATTATGTAATAACACGGAATAATTTTTTTGTTCATTTTTTTTATCACATATTCTAGAAAAATTTAGATTTTATTTAGGAATAAAACACATAAAATACGGGCCCGACGGCTTAACTTTTAAAACCCAATTATAAAATGTCAGGAGGTACCCAGGCACATCAACTTTCCACCGTATACATAATGTGATTATATAGTTATAGTTGGTATATTAGTCTGAAAATTACCCACACTCAATGTATTCACGTAATACAATTTTAATACAGTATGTTTTACATTTACTAGAAATGTTCTCAAAGCATTCTATTCAATCTAAAACACCGTACCGAATCTGAAGTGGTATAAATCTACAAAAAAAAAAAAAATCCGTTTTCACTAAAGTAAATAGTGTGTGTCTCCGCACACACTGATTGATACCACTATATTTTCATTTAAGTCGAATATCCACACTACTTATATTCATGGTTAAAAATTTGTAATGGTACAAAAATACCAGTAATTTGTATAAGAATAATTCTACGTATAAAGTTGTTGAGAATATTATAATATAACCATTTTTATATATTTTTGTTTTATATTTTACGATTTCAAAATTTCAACCTTGCGGTGTTCTTATTTAGATGTTTAATACACTGATACTATGACACAATTATCTTTAACTACTTTTGTCGGCAGAAAATTAACTTTTAATAATATTACTGTTGTGCATAATGCATATCATATCATGATAATGAAATTGACATAATTTAATGAATTGAACACTCAATTACAAAATGTGTTATTAATTTAATATAATATATCATTACGAGCTTAAATAACTTGTTATCTTCACGATGACTTAATAGAAACAGACATACCAATTACTGTACAAAATATGTATTAGTTAAATACTTATTATATATTTAAAAGTTGTTCATAATTAATAATCAAATTAATAACCTCACTCACTTGTTATGATTAAATTATTTAATTTTAATTAAACGTGTTTATTTAATTCTTAAAAATTACATTTACCTATAATATTTTTTTAAATACAATAATAATCGTTAATAATTAATCATAATTAAATTAGTGCTCACATATTTTGAACATAAAGATGTATAAATTATAATTTAGAGTTATAAAAATATTTATTTTACTGATAAATAGTATTATAGTATATGATATAAAATATTTTAAAATAAAACTAAAAATAAAAACCGAAATACTAAATTAGGTATACATTATTCAAGTATATAACACCATTTTTTCAAACAGTTTTTTACCCTATTTTTTTTTATTTAGAATTTGTATTAAAGTATTCTACTTTTCTAAAGGTATAATATCTATAGGGTAAGGTACCTACCTATATCAATATCTATTTTTATATTGCACCAACGTGTTTCAAACTAAATTCATCTAGAATGAATTACATTTGAAAGCTCTTAACATAGAAAATTATATCATACTTATAATTATAATAATCATATACGAAATTGATCTATTTTAAATTCAGTAAAAAATTCAAACATTTATATTTTTAGTTTAATCTGTATACCTAGTACCTATGTAGGAATATAATTAAAAAATGATAAATAAATTATTAGATTGCCTTAGAATTTTAGAATCATTGATCTATTTCAATAACGTATGTGCATACATTACTTAATAATATATACGACTTGTTTTATACATTAAACAAGAACAACGATTATCTATCATCTTAATTTAACAAAGACAATAAATGTCATACGCATTACTTATATTAAAATTTCTGTAGTAAAAAACAATTAATTGATTTCTATTGGTTACCTAACTATAAGATGCCGACGTCGGTCGTTGTTTAATTACTCTAAATGTGCTTACAATGTATATGCTTAAAAATCTGGTGGAATACATACGTGGAGAGGTAACCCATCTTACTTTTTTATTAACGTCTATTTTTGTATGAACCATTTAACAGAAAAATGCTAACTTATGCGTTAAAAAATAAATTATTATTACTCAGATAATGTTAAATTTTAGTAGGTATTGCATAGCTAAACATAATAACTATGTGGTTGTATTTACTTACAATTTATGTAATATTATGGTGGATGCTTGTGGATATAGCTATAATGTACTATGTGCATAATTACAACTTGGTTGTGTGAAATTGTATTTGAAAACCGCATTTTTTTAAAATCTAAAACTAAATAATTTCTTATATATGTTTAAATAGATACAAATGTTCATCAAACGGAGTACCTATAACACAAACCAATGGCTCAACACTTCCGCTGGTTCCAAGTACAAGCAAAGATGCCGAGTTTGGTGGCTACAATCCATTCGATCATCGAACAGTCCAATATCCGACCACGTAATTAAATAAAATATTTCCCAAGATTATCGTACAAAAACTTAAAATTGTTAAATTTCAGAGATATGGAAACATTTATACATTTGCTGAAAGGAAGTCTGGGTTCAGGCATATTGGCCATGCCTTTAGCTTTTATGAACGCTGGACTAGTATTTGGGCTTGTCGCAACCGCTGTAATTGGATTCGTTTGTACATATTGTGTCCACATACTGGTAAGATTTAATCGTATTAAAATATTATAGACATTAATTGTTTGTACAAACAACACTGACTTGACGAGAAAACAAAAAAAAAAATAAAATAAAATATTATCTTGAATTATGTTACAATAAATACTTTCTGTTCATTCTTTGTTGATAAAATCAATATTTTTTTTTAAAAAAATGTATCTAGACGATTATTTTTTTTTTCTTCAAATAAATTCAGTCTATTTAATGAGTTTTATCAGTTTGACCTTTAAAATTTATATTATTAATTTTAAACATTTACTTATTTGCTTAAGTTATTCATATTTTTATACATATTATATAAACAAAATTATTAGAATTTTAATGATAACAACTTAGCAATATTTCTTTAAAAAAAACGTAAAAGTTAAGCGAATAATATTCTATAAAGTTTAGTAAAAACATATCTTTCCATATAGATGATTCAATAAAACTATTTTTCTAAAAGAAAAATTAATTAATTAATAAATTAGAAATAATTATACATTATTATAAATTCAACGATTTTATGATGATTATTACCTAAACCTACTTACATAAGTATTTTTGTATTTTTAGGTAAAATCTTCTCATAAACTGTGTCGTAGAATGCAAGTACCAGCATTGGGATTTGCTGATGTTGCAGAAGTTGCCTTCCTCGCTGGGCCTCCAGCTTTCCATAAATTTTCAGGTCTTTTCAGGTACAAAATCAAAAATTTAAATACTAAATATTTCTTTGTAGGTATATAATTTTTTAGAAAGAGGTGGTTCACAAAATTTTATTGTACATTTGCATCTTGCATGTGGAATACAGTAAAAATAAGTTCATAAAGTACCTATTAGTGTAAATGGTTGAAACATGATCATTGTTACTGTTCAGTAATGTTAGGTAACACACTAGGTATTATAAAAATAGATTCTTTTGATTGTGTCTTATAACATTATTTTTGGTATTTAATACATTGTAGTATTGCTAATTATAAATTTTATTTAAATATATTTTATTTATAATAACTTGCTGTATGCTAATTAAACTCTTTTACTAAATATTTTTGTCATTGGTTTTTAATGTTAGAATTTCAGCTCTAAAAACATTTTCCAATAATTTAAGTTAGAACTTTGTGAACTTGTTTATGTTAAGTTCCACGTGTGATTAATAGAATATGACAATCTTTGGTATGATGTTTTTTTTTAGGTATCTTTGTCTAATTGTCTATCATATTGACTATAAAAATATGGACTTAAATATATATTTATTTTTCAGAGGCCTCGTTAACACGTTCCTAACCATTGATTTGCTTGGTTGCTGTTGTGTTTATATTGTTTTTGTTGCAAAAAATATAAAACAGGTAAAACATAAAATAGTATGCATTTATCAAATATTTATAATTTACATTTAGTAGTTATCAAGACATTTATTACTAAGTTTTTATTAATTGATAAGAATTTTTTATTCATAAACCCAAATGCAAATAAATAACGTTATTATTGTTATTTATAAATATTATAGGTATTCTTCCTTTTAAAAATTAATACCAACCTTGGTTTAGTTTTTTATTTTGTTAGAAATTTATTAATCTTCAAATAAACTGTTAAATAAAGTCTAAAGTTAGTTCTGTATGATCCTAGTTAATTAATTTATGTTTTATTTAAATTTTTAAGTAAATTGAGAAGTTTAAATAAATTATAATATTTTATATACTTATTACTTGTAAATTAAAATACTTTTAAACCGATCTGAATGCAATATCTTGACTTAAGTTGGGTAATTGATTAATCCATTTTAATTATCAAGACTTACTATAATAATTAACTACTGAACACAAATTTTTTATGTTGAACATTTTCAAGACGATTAAGCACTTATAAAAATATTTAAAAAGATTTTATATAATTAAATTAGATACTTGAAATAGTTCTAGATTTTTAGATATCTAGGTAATATTGTGATGAATAAAATAATATGCCTATATCTATCTATTTAGTTATAATAATACATAATATGAATGAATAAGAAAACTATTAAATACTTTCATATAAAGGTACCACATTGTTATTATAAACAACAAATGTTTTGAAATAATTAGGTAACTTCACTTATATGCTACATAATTTATTAATATAATATGATAGTATTGAATGTATTAAATTTCTACGTCTTGTTGATTCTTGAGACAATTTTTTATTGTTTGCCTTAACCTTTTATGTTTAACATATGGTTTTTGTTTTCAGGTTATGGATGAATATGTTTTAGAATTAAATGTTAGATGGTACATGTTGATGATGTTGCCTTTGGTAATCGCCATGAATTTAATACGTAATCTAAAGTATCTGGCTCCATTTTCAATGATTGCAAACTTTTTGGTTGGTATTTGCATGACCATTACATTCTGGTACGTGTTTCAAGATGTGCCATCCACAAAAACTGTACCGTATATTACAGATTGGCACAAATGGCCACTTTTCTTTGGCACTGCAATCTTTGCATTGGAAGGAATTGGTGTTGTAAGTATATCATATTTTACAAATTAATTTTTTTAAATTGAGTATTTGTAATAATTTTATAATAATAATCTAATATTTTTTTGCAACATTTACTTTGCAAAAGAATAAGTTGAGGATTATCTCTTGATAAAATTATGTATATATGTGTATAAATGTTCTTAAATATTATAAGATAATATAATGACTATGTATCTGATAATTTATTTAGGTAATGCCATTGGAAAACAACATGAAAACACCACAACATTTTATTGGTTGTCCCAGCGTGCTCAACATTGGCATGTCCATTGTTGTGGTTTTGTACTCTACCGTTGGATTGTTTGGTTTCCTCAAGTATGGTGATAAGACTGAAGGCAGCATAACGTTGAATTTACCAAAAGATCAATTGTAAGTTACTATAATTCTGCATTAGTGATTCTTTCAACAAATGCTTACAATAACATTTTAACTATTTTAGCATTAAAATAAATTAATAAAAATTTCTGTTCCTAATTGCAGATTAGCGCAATCCGTAAAGGTCATGATAGCCGTGGCCATTTTCCTTACATACAGTCTTCAGTTTTATGTACCTTTTGAGATTATCTGGAAAGGCACTAAGCACCGGTTTACATCACACCCTGTTCTTTTTGAATATTTGCTCAGAGTGTTTTTAGTCGTGTGCACGGGTAAGTCATCCACCTTGTGGTAATAATTAACTTACCTATTAATATCATTATTAAATTATGACTTTGTATGAATATATTAAAAATGTTTATTTATTATTGAGCATTATACAATAACAAGTATTATTTGTTAAATTTTGAGTGAGATATTTCTATAAAAACATCAGATATTATATTTATTTACTCAACATATAGGACAAGGTCTAATATACAATAAAATATAAAGAAAAAAGTACAAATTCAGTAAAATTTAAATAATAATCTAGTGAAAAAGAGGAAAATACGTCAACATTAGCCAAACGATATTCTCAAAAGACATTTAAATATTTTTTTTGAAACATAACTTATAATTTTATAAATATATAATTTTTAGCATGATTAGGACTTAGGAGAAACACCTACTGGAATTGATCAATATGAATAATATGTGACTATTTACATTCAAATTATTATAAATTAATAAAAAGAGAGTCATTAAACATTTTACAATATTACTTATTTAAATTAAAATCCAGAAAAATTTAAATATTTAACTAGTTATGTTATTTTTTTTTTTTTATTCTAGTTTGTGTTGCAATTGCTTGTCCTAACCTGGGCCCAGTCATATCGCTCGTCGGAGCACTGTGTCTGTCATTTTTGGGTCTAATCTTGCCAAGCTGTATCGATCTAGTTACATGCTGGGAAGAACCTGGATTAGGCAGAGGATACTGGCGTCTGTGGAAAAACTTGGCCATTATAATGTTTGGCATTTTGGGATTAGTTACTGGTGTTTACTCTAGCGTACTCGACATCATCGTACAGTTCAATCAGTGAGCGTGCACACAAGTAATGATTTCAATTACAAAAGGACAGCAGCGACACAACTCTCATACAGACAGAACAGCAATATTAGCGTTGTCAATTACAGCTTTAGTGTCCAGTAAAATTGTTTTTTAACAAAAAAAAAAAAAACGACAATAACTATTTTGTACTGATTAACTAGGGTGCAACAATGAATTTTGAAAAAAAAATTTAAATACAAAATCATGGATTTTAGATATTAAACTTTTATCTTTTGTCATCAGTTTTTGAGTATTATATTATTATATTATACAGTGTTCCTTGAGCGGCCTTGTAAATATAATAATAAAATATCAGACTAACAAAAATGTAAGTAAAAAATTGAAATATTCTTGTTGCTCAATATTTGTTTCCAATAGTAGTACTTCATAATTTCTATGAGTGTTATTTGCTCGTAATGAGATATTTTGAGTCCGATAAAGTTTTCCTTATTTTATTTGAATATTCCATATACTATCATAAAAAATAATTCATAATTAATCCACATTTAAAATAATCTATACAATTGTAGTACTATTATTTTTCTGATACCTACTATATAGTATATACCATAAGACATTAAGTATTTTAGTTATTTTTATTTATATGCAACTTTTATATATATTATTTTATTCTTCACTGTCTCAAAAATATATAATATTGTTTTTACGTGTCTAATGCTGATAAACAAATACATTTCTGTCCATTTATTATAATAAATGTTTGTTTGACCAATAGTGTTTTAACATTTTTGATTGTTACTGTGAAGTTATAATTGTGTTGTCATAATCAGATTTGCATAAAAAAAATAATAATGTATTGATATAAAAATAATCAGATACCTTTTAGATCAATAATAATTAATAGTTTGGTAAAAATAATATTTGAAATTACTTTCTACCAAAATATATAACTACTTATTTACTTTGGATTATTTTTAAAATAGTTAATTAGTCAGTTTATATTTACATTTTATATATAAACCATATAGATTTTACTAAAAACAAACTATTCTTAAAAAAAAAAAAAAATATTTTTAACTATTGAATACATGTCTTATTTTAATTGGACAATAACTATATTAAAGATGAGTGTAATAAATTTCCCATTATTATAGTTCAGTTAATAATTTAACTAAGAAAATTACAAATCGTATTCATGGATAAGTTCTTATAACATAAAATAATAATATTTTATTGATTTTTGAGCTAGTGAAGCAATATTTATTCCATTTCCAAGTATTTAGTTCTTTAATCTAATATTATCATATTCAATAATTCAAATTCCTTTATCTAACTATACCAAATTATAGCTCGTATATCTTTATACATACTCCTTCGTTGGTAAACTCTTAAACAATAATCTTATTTTCATGTTGTTTTATTGTACATTTCTCTTTGACATAGACAACTATTAAAGTGATTACATTATTTTCAACTAAACAATATGCTGTTTAGGCCATGTACAAACAAATAGAATATTTTGTTATGAAATAAACAAAACTATTTTACCTCAAATTTAAATTAACTGTAATTATGTAAGTAATTGAACGACATAGAAAGCCATTGTTTACTGATTACCATTACCTATAATTATTCAAATAACTAAAACAATATAAGAAAATTATATGATATTGTTTATTATCATGATTTCTATAATTTCATTTAATAAATAATAGTTATTTGTGGTGCGATTAGAAAATATTAAAAATTATCGCAATCTAATATAACTTGAAATAATATTATTTCAAAAACTGTTTGGTAGAAGTAAATTTAAATTTTTAAAAAGGCGACCTTGTGATGTAGTAATAATAATAAGTAAATGTTAATAAAATATATGTAATCATGACAAATTTTACAATATTGTCGATACAGTAGCTATAAGTTATTTTGATCAATTTAAGAGGTATTCAAATGATTTATTTTTAGACTGAAATTATACAAATTCATATCCATCGTTGTTGATTTAGTATCTGAATATTATTGTATTTTATTACGGATATTAATATACTTATTTTTTTCCTTACTAAGTATATTATATAGTTGGTGACTACTACCAATTTACTAATTAGTAAAGTGCTCATTAATTTACCTATTCATAAATTATAAAATTATTTTTTATCAACCGTCATAAAGACTAAGACTCTATTAATTTGACTTTATTTTACCCTTCATAATAGTAATTATTTTTATGTACGTATCTTAAATTACCATCTTGCATACATAATATTGCTTTTATTTTTTATAATTGAGAAATTATATTTTTTATGGTGTATACTTTGGTTAACAATTAAGATAAATACATTAAAAACATCTTGATTTTTGTATGACAGTTTCAGTTTAGATTACATTGTATATTTTATTGTTGAAATGTTTAGTTTAATTTATAAATGGACAGTATCAATTAAATTAAAAACAAAATTATTTCTTTTGTTTACCTATTTTGATTTGTATGTAAAAAGTTGTAAATTCAAATTTTGAAATTAAAGAGAAAAAATGTTTCAATTATTTATGTATAAAAAATAGAATACTACATTTTATAGGAAAATCATAACATAAATTTGATAAGGAGTATGATTGAAATAATTACATCTTTTATGCCTGGAATGCTAGTATTTTAAGAAAATTTCTATAATTTTAAAACACATTTTGCAGCACATCTCATAATTATATAAACATTTTACATAATAAAACATACTACATTAGATACATTTCTTTAATTTAGCTATTAAATTCATCAACGTTGTTCACTAAAATAATTCAAACTCAAAATACATTTTAAACAATTTCTGAACATGTATGGAAAAAAGGTACTTAATTTGTAAAACGAATGAAGAGAAAAGACTATTGTTGTTGAACGAACATGAGATTGTTTATTTGAGCAGTACACCCTGTACAGTTAATTATTACTGACTTAATAATAATTATTATGCTGAAATTTTGTTCATAATTTAAATCGCATTTAGATAATCTATGTAACTCCCTATATTTAATTAAACCAATGACAAGTTACTTTATTTTTATCATATAATTTTATTTTTTATTTTTTGGTATCTATTATTTTCATTACCAATATAATTTATAGTGTAAGTTTTTGTTTTATATAATTAATGTATAATAAAATCTGTGATGTTACGCGAAACGATATTATTCGGTAGCTATAAGTAATTATTTTAGTCTAGATGATGCTGATGAAAAAAAAAAAATGTCTATGTAACAAAATATATATATAAAAAAAAAATTAATATTTCATTGTCTTTACAGTTTATTATTATATTTTGTTCAGCGATCATAACATTTTTTACTCATCACTCCTAATTATGTGTGGTACAGGCAATGTGGATCAATACTGAAATGCTCCTAAATTGTCTATTCAAAGCGCCTTATTTTAAATTTATCTGTTTTATTTATACACAACTTTACACAAATTGAATGTTAATAATTATGATAACAAATATGAAAAAAAAATATGGTTTTAAAGCATTTTATATGTTAGAAAATTATTTTGAAAACATAATACGCATATACATAACATATAAACAAATAATGTCGTTCAGTCTATGAAGACTATAGATATATATTTGAATTTTCTTGAATATTTTTTACTTATTTTAGGAATGTTGTAAAACATAATGATACCTATTCAACATTTATATACTGTAAAGTTATAGATTTCCTTTAAGCAAATTGGCAAATGTAGAACGATATAACAGAAAAATAAGCGTAATGAAATCAAAAGTTATCATAAAAAAGGAGAAAATTGGATGTGAAAAATTGTGAAATTTTCCATTAATATTTATCTAACCTATTAAAAACACACTAAAAATGTAACTTTTAGGATTGATCAACATGGTGAGAAGGCGTTAAGGCCTATGATTATTAATTGAAAGTTATAGATAATGAAGAATGTGTAGATAAGCGCAACTATAATAGTAATAGAGACTACATAAGTGTGATCAATATACGTCAGAATGGTAACAATATTAATGCTAGCAAATTAACAAATTATAAGTGGATGTTAAACACCGTGTAATCAAAACTTAATTACAGTGTGTGGATATGATAAAAACAAAAGTGTTTACACCATTTCAGAAGTAAATTAAAAGATACTTTAAACTTGCTATTATATGAAGTGAAAGTAGTACAATCTAATTATCTTTATGTTATGAAAGATATCCAGAGATTTCGCGTTGCTAAACTTTCATTTAGATCTAATTTTAAAAGGCATATAAGACTTCGGATATGACAAGTAAATTGATATTTACTCAATAGTCTTCATAAGTCATGTTAGAAGTGAAGACCATTTAAAGTAAAGATTTGCCTAGCTGTAATTATTTCTTATATTATTCTTATTTATCATAATTTATTTATTGCCGATATTATCAATTAGGTATTACTCAGTACTTATTAATTATTAGATATTACTTTATAAATTAGTTGTGTTTACTTTGTACACTTAGGGACATTGCAAGTGTTCCTTCATTGAATTGTGTTTAATTGTTTTAATTATTAACCTGTATTTATTGATAAGCAAACTAAGACTAAGACTTTTATTATAGGTATCTAGTTTTGTCTCTTGCTTTTATAGAATAATTATGATTTTGATCAAATTATAGCTGCAATTAATTGAATTATATATCGATTCTTTCCGAAAAATTGACGAGAAATTATATTTTTTGTCTAAACGTAAAGTCTTGGCTAAAATTATCCCGAACTCAAACATAAAAAACACACACAGCATTGTGAAATCAATACACTCATCACTCTGCTCAGAATTTATAATAATATGAAAGGCAACATATTGATGGCTTCTCTTTGATAAAATTAAAAGTTATTTCACCATGTTAATATTTATAAACTACTCATATGCTCATAACAAAATAGACTTCAAAATTTAAATATATTTGGTCATGTATAATAATAACTCCTAAGTTCTTTTAAGTTATCAAATAATTATGTTGTATACAATAAATTAGAAGAGATGTTTCGATCTAAGCGAGCAATGCTTTATGATTAACAAATAGCGATAAATATTTAGTGAGTACTATCAATATATTTACATTTGATTGTCTTTAATTTATTAATTATTTAATTTTAATTTTGTGTTATAAAATAATCTTAATAAAAGTTAGTA